CAGGGGAGACATTCACATTTGGTATTTAATAACTACTGAAATAACCCCTTTTCTGTAATAGGAACATTAAAAAATCTTTGCTTGATATGACATATATAATTTTAATGTATCACATGCGAAATAGCATCTGATTCGTTCTGGCATTTATTTCTATGTAGCTATTAAAAAGACAGAATGTTCGCTTAAACTTTAGATTAGTGCAAGATACTCCTATTTTTAGAGTACTAGTATATACAATAAGATCTACATTACTCCATGATTCTTCTATGTTGCTAAAGTTCTGAGCTTTTTCCATTAGATCAGATTTGCTATGATATTCTTTGATTCGTAATTCTGAAAAATCGGTCTTGAGAGTATGAATAATTTCTTGTACGTCCTTTCTGAGATGACAGATAAGTGAAGTACTTTCTGATTCTCAAATGTTAGTAAAGATATTTCCTTAGCCCAATTTCAGAGTTCGGCTAATACAGTTTCTTTATTAAAAGTCAATAAGTATTGTGAATAACTGAGAATGGTTTATCCTTACGAAAGGCCTTAATCTATTTAATATTTAGATTAGTTAGATCATTATTCATAACGATAATATACCTTGTATCTTGAACTAATTTATATAACTTTTCTATCAATTGTCTAGCCAAATGACTCTGTGCCTGAGCAATTATAGATACTATTTCATCAAGCCATAAATTGTATTGGATTGGAAGGTATTTGTATTTTTATTACATTTACAATTATTAGTAATATGATGTAAGCTTTCTATCTGACATACTACCCTCTTGTGATCAGGTAGATTTATATTACCATCAATATCACAATATGATTTGAGATTAAGTCTTGTAATAACAGCATTTGAGTAAGAGTGACGCGTGAATAATACTAACAAATTTACATCATCAGATATAGTAAGATGCTCTAGAACATATAGTCAACTCTTAATATAGCGAACTCTTAATATAACGAATTTTTTAAATATATATAATAAAAATACTCTTGTTATAGTAAATTGGCCAATCAAATCTCTTAAAATCTTCACTATAGCCTTATAGTAAACTTGAGGTCTAGGATATAAAGTTCATTATAATAAGAGTTAACTGTATGTTTTTCCTGTCTTTCAAGATGATCCTACATAAATATTGCCTTTATTGGGTAATAGTCTTACACAGTGTTATTATGAGACATTGATAGGATACTGATAGGATATAGATGGGATAGATAAGATATTTGGGACATAGTGTAAAACAGGTTGGGACATATAGCTAGGACAACAAATCTCTGAAACATCAAAAATGTACATTACTGGTCTTACATATCTCTCCTCATATATTTCTATCACTATAAGGATTTCATTATACTTAACCTAAGATGGCATTTTTATGAAGGCTTTAGAAAAACCTAGACCTTTTATCCTGTAAGAGGCAGAAGATAAATTTTTATTTTCTTTCTGAATTTTTTCTGCAATAGATGGATCACATTCAAAAACTTCCCTATGCTCATCACTATTTTGCCAAAAGTACCATATTCCTCCGAAAATAAGCCCCCTGTGACATACTCCTTTTATAGTAATTTATTTATTTGTCACATGGAATTTAATATATTATTTGTCATGTATATACTAATAAATTCATATATATCATGCAGTGCTTATTTTTGGAGGAATACGGTATTTTACGATGAATATCCCACTGCTAGTACATATACAACTGAACCATTACTGATCCTTGTTATGTATGCATTTATATTATGAATATTTTAGTGGAGCTTTTCGGTTAAAATATACAAAGTTTTTTGAATCCTTTTTTTCAATAGTCCAATCCTTAAGATAGTTAGAATGTCTTTGCAAAACAAAGTTTGTGCATTTTTATAATATATTATGACCTACAATTATTCTTAATGAATTGTTATTTTTTTTGTATTAAGTAATCAGGGTCTTACTTCAAGTTCTAAGCTAGTAGGTAATTGAACCCTACACAAGTCAAAAGAAGACATAACGAACACATATCAGACATCTGATGATCACTCATATGATCATAATCTTATATCTATATGATTAATAATCCCAATGTTTCTCATATATTTGGCAGAAAAAGTTAAATATAAGTTACATATTGAGTATTAAATATCATACAATATCAATACACATATCAGATACTCTAATATCTCAATGATACTTCAATAATACCTTTATGATTATTGTATGATTGTTTAAAATAAGAGTTCCAATATTAGAATATTTTATTTTGTATACATATTACATATAAAATATTGAGTATTTATTTATTTATTTATTATATATATAATATTTATTGAGCAATTTTATTTTTACATATTATCATTACTACTCATTTTCGAGAAATCCAATATGCTAATCATTATGATAAAACAATTAATTCACTCTTTAATATTACCCACTTTCTTCCCCTTTTATACAAACTATACGAGTTTGAAATAGTCCATTCAAGAGCGTCGTTTGGCAGAATTGAGTTATTTTTATAGATGATGTCATCATACTATCTCTTTCTTTAAATTTTAATGTATTATACTAATCTGCCAATTTGATCAGCTTGTCAGAGAATTTTTCTTAGCTACGACAATATTAACGATAATTTGTAAATAAATAACAACAAAAAAAATGAAAGTAAGAAAAAAGAAAAAGGAAAAAAAGTAAAGACAAACAAATAATTTTATTTACTTACTCTTTGTGAATGCTATTACTTATCATATACATGAATAATATGTATATCATTACTGGTTTTATTTTTCAGTTAAAGATATTGAGCAATTTCCTCTTTTGCTCTTTCCTCATCGGTTTCTGATACTTTATCTGAGTGATAATTACTATCCACGAGAATTTTTTCGAGATCTTTCTAATAATTATTATCAGTTATTGAATTAGGTTTCATATCTATTAGGGTCTCATCATTAGTATTATACATATGCATAATACCACATTGTCACCTTTCTTTTTTCTTAAATAATTAAAACAAATAAATTAAATAAGCCATATTGTGATCTGATACATGATATATTTAATATACTTACTTCTGAACATCTTGAGTTGGTACCCTTTCTTTTTTTATCTGATTTTGATTTTACCTCATTTAACGAAATTTGCTAACTTTCATGATGATGCTAATGAAGCTGTTGTAAGACATATTTCAACTCTGATTTAGTGTAGACAAAATTTTTTTCTTTTAATGCCCTATCGATTGCTGGTATAATATTTTTTAAAACGTGTTGAAAGATATTATTCCATTGCTATTTATGGTTGAGCGTTAATGATTCATCAAATTCTTTAAATGTTAACACAACTTCGTCTTAAATTTAAATAAGTATAAATAAAATTATTAACCTTGACTTATTCGTTCTGGAATATTAAATTTAATATACCCTAAAAATCTTGAATTTTTTATTAGACATCTTTTCGAGTATTAGACGAGATCTTCGTATATATCTTTCTGGTGATTTCAGAGTTACATATCCTTTACCTTTATTAAGACATATAGACTGAACTTGCAGCATGCTCTTTAAAACTTTGACTTCTTTAATCAAATGTTTAAGTGTTGAATTTATTGTTTCGATTTCTATTACATATAATATAAAATGTAAAAGTTTAAGTTATCCTCACACTAACAATCTAATTAATAATTTTACCATTTATTTCTGAATTTTTGTATAGTCTAGAACTTCTGCTCAAACTTCTGTTACTATCATCGGACCATCTTGGTGAATTATAAAGAACTGGACGTTTTCTTTCCTGACTTCAGTTTCTATTGTATTCACAGAGAATTGATTATTTTCTTTCTGGATCTCGATAAATTGAACATTCTCTATCATCATCATCATGAGGAATCGAATATGAGTCTCGATGAATTGAATATTCTCTATCATCATCATGAGGAATTGAATATGAATCTCAATAAATTGAATGTTCTCTATCATCATTATCATCATCATCATGAGGAATTAAATGTTGATTTCAGTGGGTTGAACAACCTCTATTATTTTCACAAAGAATTGGACATGGATCTTGGTGGGTTGAATGGTCTCTATCATTATTACATAAAACTGAACATTTTCTTCCTGTATTTCGGTAGGTCGAACGGCTTCTATTAACTTCACAAGAAATTGAACATCGTCTTCTTTGGTCTTGACATATCGAACGTTTTTGATTACCAATCAGACTTCTTAGAAATATTGATCTGTGATCTTGATTATTATGATGATAATGCTGATCATGAGAAGAAGCTCTCTTATTAGAAACTCTATTGATTCTGAAGGGTTTTTTACCATGCATATTACTAAAGTGTAAGAACAATTGTAATAATAGATAAAAGCATCTATAAAATTTAATAAAAAAACCTTTTTTATATATTTTGATTTCTTCATCGTGAAATTATTGTTCTATCATAAAAAAAAAATGTAAAATAAACATTAACTTTAAGCTATGTATTTTTTTTTCAAATTTATTAGTTTTTCGTAATAATACGTAATTATTTATGCATTTTTCATATAATTTTTTGATATAAGCATTACCTATAGTTTTCAACAAAAATTTTTGTTTGCGTAACTTCTAATTATCGATTTTTATAATGAGTTTGAAATATTCTTTTGAGTAACTTAGTTATAACGTAATATTTTATGTATATTACCAAAACATTACCAATAGTCTTATAATGAGTCCAAAATATTCTTTTGTGCAACTAGTTATATAAAATAAAGCATTTCGTTTATTTATCACATTTTACTGCGTATTGCAAAAAAAAAATAAAGAATAAATTAACTTTCATTACCTTAATTACTATTTATACTTTATTAAACTTTGTTTGTTCTTATCGGATTGTTAATTTACTACAATCAAATAATTAAATTAATATTGTTATATTATTTTGGTTTAACAATTTTCCATTTAACAATCGATTAAATTTATATTGTTAAAATTGTTATATATATCAATAAATTCAATCAAAATTAAATATAATTAGTATTTTGAAACTTTTAATATGACACGCAAATCAAAAAGAAATTTTGTACAATCGAAAGAAGTTTTTGAAAAAAATATATCCAAAATATCAAAAACTTCTAAATCATTTACCAGAAAACATGTGACATGCAATTGTAAATCATGTAAAGGTCGTAAAGTTAATTTGCGTACAAAAGAATCACATATGAAGAAAAAAAGAGAGTTTAGAACGAGAGACGTCATTGAACTTTTTGATATATGAATCAAAGAGAATACAAGCCAGAGCTGTATTCCTATAGAAGATTTTATAGAGGATTTCATAAAGGTGAACGAAATAGAATTAGATAATAATAGTAATAGTAATGAAGCAGATAATATACAAGAATTCAATTTTCTTGTTAAACTAAAATCTAAAGAAAAACAGAGGTAACGTAAAATCAGTTATCTGATAGTTGTAATCGAGCAGATTTTATCTAAAAGTGAAGAAGAATCTGATAAATTTGATATTGACGAAGATATATATTTTAGCGAAGACGAAGTAGAGGAAGAAGGGCGAACTATTAACTTTGATACCTCAGAATCGATTTACAGCGACGAATATCCTGATATATCAACTGCGAATATTAATTAAAGTTTTATGTGGATCGTATATTGGATTCTCAAATATCAAGAAAAGTATTGATTATCAGATATGGCTACTAATGCCCTTATAACATTTATAAGATCTTTGTTAATATTAAATAATAAAAATACATATTTGTATTTTCCAACATCTCTATATATGATGTGTAAATTATTTAGCACCAGTGATCAAATAGTCAAGTATACAGCTTGTAAAAAATATTGCAAGTTATACTCTGTGAAGGATTTACCAACTGATAAGCCATATTGTTGTACTTTTCAAGATTTACCTAATCATCCAATGAGCAATTAAAGAGCTACTTGTAATAAAGGTATTACAAAAGAAGTACCTATTAATAATGGAATTTTGTATTAACTGTCTTGTATTTTTCCAATTATCAACATTAAATGCCAGTTACATATATTATATAATAAAAAAGGTTTTGAAGAATTATGTAGAAAGTGGACAGTATGACGTAATGGTCAAGAGTCAACAGATATATATAATGGGAGGATTTGGAAAACGTTTAAAGATCTAAGTAATAATTTATTGTTTTTTTGACATGAAGTTGCAGATAGTAATATCAGAATTATGTTGAACCTTGATTGGTTTCAACCTTTTGATAATTCACAATATAGTGTAGGAGTCATATATGAAATAATATGCAACCTTCCATAAAGTGAAAGGTTCAAGACTTCTAATGTAATCACTTTAGCTGTATTTCCTGATCCTAAAGAGCCAAGGCTACATCTCTTTAATCATTACTTGACACCTATAATCGATCAGTTGATTAAATTATGAGAAGGAGTCGAATTACCTAGTACTTATGAAAGCCCTACAAGTAAAATGTACAAGTGGCAGTTATATGTTGTATGTGTGACATACCTGCGGTTAGAAAGCTTTGCGGGTATATATCAGCTAAAATTGCATATCATAGATGCAAAAAGAAGGCTAATATAGAAAGTAAATATCATACAAATTTTGGCAAATTTGATGATATAGAAGAATGGTTTATGCAAAGAGATGTCAAAGAATTAAGAGATAATGTCAATTCATGGAAGGATTGCAAAATGGAGAATCAATGCCGGAAGCACGTATCAGAAAGATTAGTGAGATGGTCTGAGATATATCGCTTACAATACTTTGATCTTGTATGGTTTCTTATAGTGGATCTAATGCACTGCCTATTTCTAGGCATTTCCAAATAAATCATAATACGTTTATAGGTTGAAGATGGCTGATTAACGCTGAAAAATTTAAAAATGATGCAAGAACGAGCTAATAAGTTAAAGGTATCATCAAATATCGGTAGAATTCTAAATAAAATAGCGATAAAAGAAGGCTTCTCAGGATTTACTGTTGACAAATGAAAGACATTTTTTCTCATATATGCCACCACAATTATCTGGGATTTACTTTAAGGAGCAGACAGAGAAATATTAAGCTATTTTGTACGAGCATGTAACATTCTTGTATGTCAAATTATTTCTGAGTCAGGATTAAAAGAAGCACATGAATGTCTTTTATCTATGGTAAAACTTGTCGAATAATATTATAGGCTAGAAAAGATTTCTCCAAATATGCATCTGTGCTTGTATATATGCGAGTGTGCATTTGACTATGATCTGTTGTATTCCTTTTGGTGTTATAGTTTTGAACGAATGAATGGGCTATTAGGTAATCTAATTTCAATTAAAATGTCTGATTTATCTATAATATTTCTGATATTTATTTATTTATTTTTTTACAGGTTCTTTACATAACAGTAATCGAAATATTGAACCAGAATTACTTAGAATCCTTCAAAATTATTCTGCTCTTGATGAATTATCATTACACGTTAATGAAAATCAATATCTTTCAGAATGTTTAACTTATATCACACCTAAAGAAACAGTTAGTAGTCTTGTGACTAATAAAGATTTTGATTTAGTGAATTATTCAGAATTTTTGACAATGTCGAAGAATGTAAAAAAAAAGGTAGGAACGGGATCAGAACCTTTCTAGAAGAGTTTTTTAAACTGATGAAAAAAAATATAAGTTTATCACAAGAAATTCTGGCATTATTAATTGAATATTATCATAATGCATATGGATATTCTTTTATAAGCTTATCAGATATTCATAACTTATCAGAAGAGTCAATTGTAGTTTTATCAAGAATAAACCAATTTGCTAGACTAAGACTCAGAGCTGAAGTAATTAGTTCAAAACTTTCAATAAGATATATTGGGTTAGCAAATATACTATCGCGATTTATTTTAGATGATAATACAATTGACATCTATCCTGATCAGGTTCAATTCTTTTTTGAATATTCAATAGGTTTACCAGGAAAAAGGTCAGTGACACATTCTTTGGCTTTTGTTAGATGGTATAGAGCAGCAGATGATCAAAAAGTAGATTTCATTGTCGAACAAATGAAGATAAAGTAAACATTTGTAATATTGAATTATGGAAAAAAGGGTTTTATGAATTAAGTCGTGATTGTATCATACCAATACATAACATTTTAGGACGTTTCATTTCTGGAATGATAAAAATTGGCAAAAAAACACCAAAAGAATATATGTCAGTTATTTCTATCAACAGAAAAATTTATATATAAAAATTAATTTACAAATATCAATCTGAATTTACTTGATTATAGATATATATAAAAGATTTCCAGTGTTAACTAAGTTTTATATTTGATATATTTATCTAATAATTCGATGGGTCAATGATACTTTAATTATTGTCTAACTAGTAAAATATCAAGATTTTATATTTTACTGGTACTTCATTTAAAAAATCAGAATACTATATTATAAATATCATTAAGCAATAGGATTACTGATAACTTAATTAAAATTTACAAATATTTTAATGATGCTACTTTTGAGAAATCAATATATAATTAATAAAATATCGGTAATATGTTGACTACTGATATCTATATGATTGCTAAAATTATCTATCAGTATCATACTGGATTCTGATATATTTCTGATATTTGTATTATTTGCTATAATCCAATTTCTCATAATTTGACCAGTGTCAGATAATAAAAAAACGTATGATGGTAAACATTGAATATTATCTATAATTGCTAAAGATTTCACTTATGATGAATTACAAACCAATTTAGGTGTAAGAATTATTTATTTTGATCCTTATTACACATAACTGCAATACCAACTAATCAATATATTTTGCATATAATTTTAATATTACAGGTTAGAAGACATACAATTTCAGAATCACATAAACATACACGAACTAATGGATATAGTGCTCCAGTATTAGAAAAACCTGTTATTTATCGAAAAAGATTTACTGCAGAAATGTTAGATCAGTTTGAACAATTTTTTCTAATAAAGAAATTGTGAATATAAGTTTATACAAAATAGATACCTCTACTGGATTGCTACTTTTATATGACTAAATTAAAAGGTGGACGATTTGTATATCAGGATAATCTTGGTAGATTGTGTTCAATATGTAATGATAATGGCTATTTAGTATTAGTGATATTAATATACTAATTGCAGTACATATAACTGATGAATTAGCACAGGTAAGTAAATAAATCAAAAAATTCAATTTTTTAATTTTTTAAAAATTCAAATTTTTCTAATAATAAATTACAATTATAGAAATAATTATTAGGAAAATCACAAGACTTATGGCGTTATATCTGTTATCAATATTGCAAATTATTTACTATTACAATGAATGGCATTGGTTTACACGATAAATGCATTAGTCACTGTATTCGCTATGCATTTGGAGATTGTAATCTTGATCATCCTGATACCTGTGATAATTGTGAAAGTTTATTTAGTTTTTTTGATCAATTAAAAGAATAATTAGGATGAGAATTTAATGATATGCTTGATAATTATTAAATAAACTTTTATCATAGATGGCTTATTACACACGTAAAACTTATCTTAATATTCACGTAAGAATAAATCTTGAAGAACATAATGCTGAAGGTGTCATGATAATAGTAGATTATAAAATAAAAATTTTACCTACAAGTGCAAGGGAGACAAAAAGAAATTTTTTTAAAAAACGTGATTGGAGCTTACATTCAGTTTTAGTTTATACAAAGAATATAGAAAATAATTGTTTAAATATTCAAGTATATGATCATTGATCAGGTGATACGTATCAGGATGCATAGTTTACTACTTCCACTTTGCATACTGTTTTTGAAACTCTTCAACCAAGACCTAAATGAGTAACAATTTTATCAGACAATGGAATGCATTATCATTGTATGGAATTGATACTTATTATAGGTTACTGGAAAGAGTGGTACAATATTATTCCGCGACAGTGACTGTTTTTGGAAGCAGGTGAAGTAAAAACAGCAATAGACTTTCATCATGCACAGATATACATTACTTTTTCGATAAATCTAAAAAGTATTACTAAAATAATTTACAATTTAGATATCACAAGCAATAAAACGGTATATAAAACTAGGTTTTAAAGTGAAAAATGGTAATGATATTGAAAATGTCATTAAGGATATCGCAGGTACATATGTGGCTAACTTAAATCTAAATAGAAATACAGGTATTTTTAATTTCTAATAATAAATATTACACTAACTAAACAATAATAATAAATATATTTTATAATTAGATAAAGAAAACTAGGTACTATAATAGGAATTTCAAATTTTTAAGAATGGATCTAATCTCAAAGTGAAGAAAAAAGTGGATACATTTATGCTTGTGCTCTGCTAGGTATTGGTACTTGAAAAGAGTATTCACCTGGAAAAATAGAGAAAATAATGAAGAAAAGAAAATTTGAAAAATCCCACCCAAATTATACTCAACATACGAAGCCAAGTAAACATTAGATTACGCTAATTGTGAACAAACCCAATAAATTTGTATTACTTTTGATTATTATTATTTGAATTACTAATTTGAATCAGCTCTTTAGTATGTATAAATAAGCAATAGTGTTTATAACACCAGCAATTTCATCTAATATCAATAATAGCGTTA